AGATCTTAAATGATTTAAATCATATTTGATTACACCATTGAGAGATAGGTAGTTAAATTCGGTTAAAATAGCTAATAATACATGTAAAGAGCTTATTAGTAATTTTAGGGTTATTTCTTCGATCTTGAATAATTAAAATTGATTACTGAACTAATAGAATAAATTGGATAGAATTAAGTGAAGTCAAATAGCTTTTATACATTGAATTTTACAACTGCTTGTTTGATCTCTTTTAAGTTTAATCTTTTATTTTATTTCTTTTTTTTTTTAATTCTTAAACAAATTCTCTTTATGATCGTTTAAATAATAGAAACTAAAACAGTTTTGGAACTTAGTATACAATTCTCGTGGTAACAATACTTTATTCATTATATTATTTATTATGATTTCATGCACTTGAGAAATTGCTCATGAATAAGAGTCAATACTCTTTATACAAGTAGATAAATCTCATATTTTTTTGTTCTCACCATCTATTGACACAAATAAGAGATAGTTGACCATGCTTCAAAATAAAAAATAAAAAATCATTGCACATGATTAAAATACTCAAATTGAATCATCTTGTGTTCATTAAAGTCTTCTGGATAATTTTTTTGCACTAATTCGCAAATGTCATCGATTTTGAATGATGCAGGCATCTCCTTTAAATGTAAAGCTGAACTAAGAACAAGTAATTTTATTGTATTATCATTGAACTTATTCTTTAATCCTTGCAATCAAGAGTCAATCACAATGTTGAACATGTCAATTTTGTAATGATGTTTTATTGTAATTTCATTTTGTTGAAGGCGAGCCCTTCCTTTTCTTGCACTATAAAGAGCATTCAAATCTAGTACAAGTATGTTAATTGATCCACAAAAATATTTCATCTTAACAATTAATTCATCCTATCCTTCATCTCTTAATTTTTTGATGAGTGATATAGTAGATGACATTGCATTCAAAATGTCTTGAGATTGAAGTTATAAAATTTGATAGAACAAATTTGAAATCTCATGAATTATTCTCATAAGATGTAAATAAAGATGAATTCAAAAGAAGTTAATGTCTCATAAGCTGCATCTGCATCTGCATCACAATGCTGAGCTGATGTAGCTCATCATCAACGACATTCAACATAACATCACATGTTGCGCTAAACATATTAATCAAGCTAGAAATAAAACTCAAATGTGAACTCCAACTAGTGTCTCTTGCCTTTTGCAAAGTATCAATTTGATTAAGTCCTTCTTCACTTTATAACTCATCAATTACAAGTAAATAAGCAATGAGCAGCTTTTAATTGATCACTACACTTACATGATGCATTAACTTTGTAAAAAGCTAATGGATGAGAAAAACTTCTTTTGATATGCAACAACTAATGTTATTTGCAAACAGTATGCGATGCAATGAATGTAGCAAGCATAAGGGCATATATTGTGATAAGCCACGAAGGTCCTCAAGGATGCCTATCCAAAACAGAAAATATTTGGACTAAGCCAACGAATGGTGGCAGTGGCTTCGCCGGACTCATCAGGAAGAAGGAAAGGATGTTTTGTGGGAGATTTTCTCTGAGGAACTGTGGTCCTGCTTCGGGCCCACCGATTGCAAAGACTTTGACGAGTCTTTGTTTAAAATATGACAAACAGGGCTCTTAAGGGACTATCAAAAGGCATTCGAGAGGCTCGAAAATAGAGTACAAGGATGGACCCAGAAAGCTTTGGTGGGGACATTCTTTGTGTCTCATTACAATATATGTCCATTCATGGGAGGCCTTAAACCATAAATCGCAGATGGCATCAGAATGTTTAAACCAAAAACATTAAAAGATGTTATCGGTTTAGCTCGGATGAGGGATGAGCAACTACTACGTCAAAAGAAAGCAATTCGCACAATGGCCACTATGAGTACTTATTGATGCCTTTTGGCTTATGCGATGCCCCCTCCACTTTCTAAGCTCTCATGAATTCTATTTTTTGTCCTTATTTACAAAAATTTGTGCTAGTTTTCTTTGATGGTGTTTTAATCTATAGCCCTAATTGGAACATGCATATTGAACATGTGAAACTGGCTTTTGAAATATTGAGGCAGCATAAGTTCTTATTAAACTCAGTAAATGTGCTTTTGGGCAGCAGCAAATTGAGTATTTGGGTCATATTGTGTCTCATGATGGTGTTCAGGTGGATCAAGGGAAAATAAAGGTTTGGGCAGCAGCCAAAATTGAGTATTTTGGGTCATATTGTGTCTCATGGATTTGGTGCTTCAGGTGGATCAAGGCGGAAAAATAAAGGCCAAATGCTTGGACTGGCCTAAACCTACATAATGTTTTTGAATTACGTGGTTTTTTAGCGTCTAAACAGTTATTACAGGAAATTTGTACATTGACTGTGGCGTTGGATAGCTTCAACCTTTTGACAATTTGGATTAAAGAAAGGCCACTTTTCTTGGGGTCTGCTGAAAGCCGAAGCATTTTTTCAGCCCCTGAAAACAATGCCTTAACACTTTATTAAACTCAGTAAATGTGCTTTTGGGCAGCAGCAAATTGAGTATTTGGGTCATATTGTGTCTCATGATGGTGTTCAGGTGGATCAAGGGAAAATAAAGGCAATGCTTGACTGGCCTAAACCTAATAATGTTTTTGAATTACGTGGTTTTTTAGGTCTAACAGGTTATTACAGGAAATTTGTACATGACTGTGGCGTGATAGCTCAACCTTTGACAAATTTGTTAAAGAAAGGCCACTTTTCTTGGTCTGCTGAAGCCGAAGCATTTTTTTCAGCCCTGAAACAATGCCTACACTTGCAATGCCCAACTTTGATGAACCTTTTGTTAATACCACAGATGCATCCGATACTGGCATAGGAGCTGTCTTATCCCAACAAGACAGACCCATCACGTTCATGAGTCGTGCTTTGGGAGTTTCCAAACAGTCATGGCTACATATGCCAAGGAGATGCTGGCTATACTTCAAGTTATTCGTACTTGGCGACCTTATCTGCTCGGTCACAAATTTTACATTTAAACGGATCAACGAAGCTTAAAGTACTTGGTAGAACAGCGGATTGTCACTCCAGAATAACAGAATTGGGTCTCCAAACTATTGGGGTTTGATTATGAGATCATCTACAAGCCGGGTAGAGAAAATAAAGTAGCAGATGCCTTGTCACGTGTTGTAGGCAGCCCTAGTCTCAACACTCTTTTCCTTCAACAAACTTCCTTATGGGCTAAAATTCGGGCAACTGTCTCAACTTATCCTTATATGCTTCGTGTGGGCAAATTGGCTACGGAGAAACTTGGCGACCCTTATTTGTGGAGAAATGGTTTAATTCTTTACAAAAATCGGGTGTAATTCCTCCTAATACTGATTTAACTTGATTTAATTTGTTAGCTTTATAGGAATTTCATGATTCCCCATGCGGCGATCATTCTGGAGTTTTGCGTACATACAAGAGAATAGCACAATAGTTTTATTGGCCTTCTATGCGAAATCAAATTCAGCAATATATTTCTTCTTGTTCTGTCTGTTAGAAAAACAAGGCTTCTACTTCATCTCCGGTTGAACTTCTCCAACCTTTACCAATTCCTCACCAAGTCTGGGATGATATAACAATGGATTTCATTGATGGACTTCCACTTTCATATTGCAAAAATTAAGTTCTGGTGGTGGTTGATCGACTCAACAAGTATGCTCATTTCTTAGCTTTGTCTCATCCTTATACTGCCAAAATAATTGCTGAAAAGTTTATTGATGGAGTTGTTAAATATCATGGGATGCCCAAGTCTATAATCAGTGACTGTGATCCTATTTTTATTAGCAATTTTTAGTGTGAGTTTTCAAATTATCTGGTACCAAGTTAAATATGAGTTCATCTTATCATCCTAAAACTGACAGACAATTTGAAGTGACAAACAGATGTCTCGACAGTATCTTCGCTGTTTTGCATCTCAACAGCCGTGTAAATGGAGTTCATTTCTTCCTTAGGCTAAATTCTGGTATAATACTTCCTTTCATATTTCAATTGGAATGTCTTCTTTTATGGTTTGTATGGTAGAACTCCACCGTCAATAGCACGGTATGAGATGGGACAATCACTTGTTCATGAGGTGGATCAAAATTTGGTCGCTCGAGATGAAATTCTGCAGGAATTAAAAGTTAATCTTTCGCGTGCTGCAAACCGGATGAAGCAAACAGTTGATTTAAAACAAAAGGATGTTGAATACCAAGTGGGTGATCTGGTTTATCTTAAGTTACAATCTTATCGTCAACACCCGGTGTACAAGAGAGCTCATCAAAAGTTAGCTAGTCGATATTATGGGCCTTTTCCAACTGAAGCTAGAATTGGGAATTTAGCTTATAAATTGCAACTCCATGAAGGCTCCAAAATCCATCCGGTTTTCCATGTGTCGCTTTTAAAGAAACATGTTGGAGATGATGTTCCTGTCACCTTGGACCTTGAGGACAAGGTTCCTTTGAAAGGGAGATGCAATGATAAGCCACGAAGGTCCTCAAGGATGCCTATCCAAAACAGAAAATATTTGGACTAAGCCTCTGCTTAAGTTTGTTGGTCTGCTGTAATATTATTTTATTTTATTTTATTTTATTTGTTATTGAATAAGTCAATTTGCTCTCTGATTTTTGGAAGCAAAATCTGGCTAGTTTATCTAATAAGTGCCGTTTATAGCCTTAAGAATAGGATCAAGATGCTCTTTTCCTATTTATTCTCTTGTATCCACAGCAGAAAGAGAGGAATGAAAAAACATTTAAAACTTCTTATTCTCTCTACTTAATTCTCTTTGGCTTTGACTGGGACCTATCATATTGAGTTCAATAGTTGAAAACTTCAAGGACGTATAGTGTGCTTATCAAATTAGGAAGACTTAGTTAATTTTAAGAAAACATAGGGAATCAACAGTACTTTAATGATAAAGGATGAAGAGTCCAATAATCAATGTTTGTGCAATTGCTCAACAAAATTGTCTAATGAGTATTAAAATAACTATAAATACAATGAGATAAAAAAAAATGGATCATTTATTCATATAATATTTTTATTCCATTATAATTATTACAATGCTCTAAGGTATACAACTTACATCAAGCATAGTATATCAAATTATTGAAAAAGAGACACATATAAAAAGTGATCAATCTCAATCAAAATGACTGCGGGAAGGAAACACACAAAGGTGATCGAAGAAGAACACACTAATTAATCAGATTTCTTACTTTTCTGACTTTCTAATCGGAAGAGACGATTTTTATTGGGTCGGAAAAGTAAGGAGGAGATAAAAGTTGAACGAATAACTTGATAAAAGAGAAGTGCATGCTGCCAAATGAATAAAAATATTGGGACAGAAGCAATGACAGCAACAGGATAAGCAAATTTGAGTTGCCCATGTTTAAAAATAATGAAAAATGTTGCAATGAACGCTATCATCATTGCTAATATTGATATGAAAAGAAATGAGAGTCCCAAAATCAACTTTGTAGGCAATGACATGCGAAAATCGTCTATCGAGTATCGAGAAGTAAGAATAGAAAGAAATGATAATACAGTAGAAACAGAGAAAACTAAGGATATTGCATCTGATACTATGAAAACTTTGAAAGTAGTCAGTTCAAGAAAAATAGGAATCCCATTATCCTGTCCATGGCCACCAGGTACAGTAAAAGCAGATGCAAAAACTACAGTTGCAATGAGTGTTGCAACTACCATACATGAATTGGCTGTGTTTCGCATCCATTCCTCTCCTTCTTTCCTTAATTCTTTGTGTTCTTCTAAGAATACTTCTCTAGGAGTGAGCCCATCATAGTTCTTTGCATCTATTAGCTGTGGACTCATAGCCTTCATCACTTCCTACAATTTTATTTTTTTATATAAGTGATATTAATTACACATTTTATAGTCTTTGCACATAAATGCTTTAAGTGCCAATGGTAAATATTTTTTAGCCAATGCATCCTCTAAACATTAAGTATTGATATAACTTTCCAAATCGACAGCGTTGAAATGTGAATAACATCATATTCAATTTATATATCTCAAATAATTTCATTTTAGGGCTTCTAGAATTTCTATCTCAAATAATATCTCAAAAAGATAAAGTAGAAAACAATTTTTAAAAAATTTCTATTTTCATTGGTTTCGTCTATATGGACCACAAAACCGTCTAGACAAGTATAATAAAAAATTCAGTGTAGTGGAAACACAAGTTATATAATATATATAGACTCAATTTGTTCAAAATTAGAAGTATAGGAATCAATTAAACTAAATAAAAAAAATCTGTTGAATCTGATTATACTAACATAGAAAAATTAAGTTCAAAAACCAATTTGATACTTTAGCTTATATAATTAATTAATTACCTCGAACCACACCAGCTCATGCTGAAGTTGAAGAGCTGCTCCTGGTGTAAAATTAAGTCGGTTCGATGATGGCAAATATCCAGCCAAATGCAACATGTTATTCCCATTGCCATCAACGTATCCATTTATCAGGTCCTTAATCGAACCTAACTCGTGTATCAGCTTGAAAATATTCTCAAATCGTTTCAAAACAGCTATATGAAATATTGTTTGAGCATTTTCGTTCACTTTTAACAGTACATCTGGATATGAACCTGCAAGTATCATTAGGAATTCCACATTTCCGTGTTCTGCTGCAATAAATATTACCCGTCCAGATGATCCAAACATCAAATAACTAATGTCTATGTCATCTACTTGTGTTGTTATTTTCTCCCATATGGTTTTAAGTAGTTCCATTTCTTGTTGAAGCACCACATTCTTCTTTCCGAATCTGTTTAAACTTGATACTAAAAAATTTACCAAAATTAATAAATAGGATAGATCTTCTCACTCTTTTAAAAATGTGTGAAAAGTAGAGATGCAACATTATATTCTCGTAATGAAGAATCTAAGATAATTTTATTAAAAATATAATAACTTTTTGAAATTGTTTTTTATATATAATTTAAAGCTAAAATGCAATAAAAATACAAATTCATTTTAATTTTTTTTATTTTATTAAACTAAAAGAATTGTTTAGTTTTATACATTGCTTTTTTATTCAAAATTTATTCTATTTATGGTTAAATAAAGATATTAAAAATTTGCATTTTAGAATTCATACTTTTCATATGAATTTTAACTTTTATCACTTCGCAACCAATTAAAATATTAAAACTACTATTTCTCAAAAAAAAAAAATAAAATTACTACTCTAAAAAAATATTATTAAGAGTACTCTTGTAATACTAATTTTACAATTAAATTATAAAAAAATCATAGAAACCATATTTGGTACTTTTTTTATCACTTTGGGGACAATTTTAATTTTCTAATAGTCATGTATATAAATATATTTAAATTTTAATGCAAAAGAAATAAAAATTTCAAATGACTATTTAGAAATGGAAGCGGGGTGGGTTTTCTTGGGTACCCGACCCACAAAAATCTATTTATAGCAGGTTTGAGTATTAATTAAATGGGTTTAAAATGTATATAGATATCAAATTAACTATTCACTGTGAATTTGAATTAGACATAAGTTTAAAGCAGCGGGCACCCCTACCCACCAAAATCCATTCTATAATTTAAAAATATTTAATAAAATAAATTTAAATGAAAATTTAAGTGCATATTAGGGTCAATATTTTACTAAAACTTTTATAAACACCAAAAAAGTTAACTACTTAAAAATATTAAACCACTAGAATTTTAGAATTGTCATTATTAATACTTTTCATTTTCTAGTCTTACTGTTTATTTTCATCCCCCTCTTCCTAGACTCGACGAACATTAGTGGACTTTCATGGCTTACCAATCTCAATCCATTCGAGCAGATTCATGTATTAGTTAAATGGGTGTGGAACAAGTGCAGTTATTAAAAATTTAAACAGGTGTGGGCATGGATATTATAAAAGGGATTTTAAACAGGTTTGGGTATCAAAAAGTTTATAAGCGAGATTGGGTGGGGTAAGTCAAAATTTTGGAGGTACCCACACAACTTCCATGCTTACTACTATTTATTACACATGTAATGCACAATATTAGTTCGATTTGTTTGACAACTCTCATGAATTGAAATTAAAAAAAAAAAAAGTAATAATTCATGTGCTTACGAAAGAATTTAAATTTCATTAATTACAATTCTATTTTTATAATGTCAAAAAAAAAAAAAAAAAAAAAAAAAAAAAAATTAAATTCATGTCTTACGAAAGAATTTAAATTTCCATTAAATTACAATTCTATTTTATAATGTCAAAAAAAAAAAAAAAAAAAAAAAAAAAAAAAAAAAAAGAGAGAGGAAAAAAGGTAAAGCTATTTGAAGAAAATACTTACAAGATGTTGAGTTTTGCACTGAAGTAAAAAAAAAAAAAAAAAAAAAAAAAAAAAAAAAGAGAGAGAAAAAGGAAAGCTATTTGAAGAAATACTTACAGATTGTTGAGTTTTGCACTGAAGTTATATGAGATTTTCGAGCAAATTCATGCAATACTGAATTCTGAGTTCTAGCATCCTTCTTTGTGACTAACAATGGATGTGCTTCTACAACCTCTAGTGCTACATCTAAAAAGAGCAATATGTTAAAAAAAAAAAAAATTATTACAAATTGAGAATTGAAAGGGTAGAGGTGAATTAAGTAGGAGTTTAAAATCCATTGATGTTTAAGTGAATATCAAAGAACTATAATTGATGATTAAAATGTGAAATAGAAAGTTAACTAACCAAAATATTTGCTTACCGTAAATTTGAGTATGGACCAAATTAATTAGCAAATCAATGAGATCATCTTCTTCCATTTGATCTTTGGTAGCATCATAAAGGTATCGAACCATTTTCCGATGGCCATAACGAGCTGCGGTGCAAATCGGTAGTTTTTTTTCGACATCACTTCTAATCTTAGCCAAATCAGGATTCTTTTCCATCATAACTTGGACAACTTCCAAGTTTCCAGATCTTGCAGCATACCAAAAAGCTGTATTTCCACTTTCAGTTTCAGCACTAGAATGTACACTTCCGTCTTCGGCTAGTTGAATGTGTTTGCGTGCTTTTCGCATAGCTAAATCTTCTTTGCTTAATATTTGAACCAATTGCTTCACAAAATGAGTGTGCATTGCTACAACAGCAATATGGAGGATAGTCTCTCCTTGTGTATTCACCTTCGCTTTTGCTTCTTCTGGAAATGTTATAAATATATCTTTAACCATTTCCCAGTCACCACTCATCGCGGCTTTATACATCAGTAGTCGTCTTTTTCTTTTCTCTGTGAAGTTCAATTGTTTGAAAGCAAATTTCTGCTACTCATTAATCAAAGTTATTTAGTTTTCCAAAAAGAGTAGGAAAGTTTGAAATGGAACATTTTAATATTTTAAAATGTTTTTTGTTTTGATATTTAATTTTAATTGATAATTAAACAATTAATACTCAAAAAGGATAAGTAACTATAAAGTCCTTGAGGTTCGATGATATTACTACTTTGTTTCTACTGTTTGAGAAACAACTGAGAAGTTCTCGAAATTAGGAGGGAGTGTTTGAATTAGTAATTCCTACTTTCCTCTTCCTTATATTGATACTTGGTGATGTATGGTTTAAAAAATAATTCCATATTTATATAATGGTACTATATTTTTATTTGGATGGTTGATTTAGCTAGAATAATATTAATAACTTATTATTACTGCTATTTGATCATAAATGATGTGAAAATCATTTCTTTTAATTTCAATTGTATTTTTTAAATTTTTTTATAGATAATTAAAAATAAAAAAATAAACAACCTAATTAAATTGGATTGATCCATTTCAACTCCCGATCAAATTCTCAAACCGGTTCAATATTCGGTTTGATCGTTTTTAAAGTATTGAATTACATGATGATTTTTTTCTTTTCCTTTATATTTTTTTACGTAAAGAAATACGTAAAGAAAAAGGAACAATGAAGAGTAGTAAATTTTATTTGTGTTATATTTCATTTATTTTATATTGAAAAGAACTTTTATTAGGCACTGAATTATTGCAAATGATAAATGATAAGAATCATATGAATTTTTTGGGAACGTAAATTACATAATTCTATACGATAGAATACATTAAAGAAGCTAGTTTTACAATTTAATAAACTCATACAATCCTATATGATTCTATATTGATAGCTCCTAATATATTCTTGGATTAATATGATTCTCTTTTCATCAGCAATACTAAATTAAATTATTAAAAAAAAAATCTGTTTTATTATATTTAATCGGTCCCTAATAACATGTGGCATTAAAAAATATTTATACAATGAAAATTATTTTTTATGGATTATAAAAGAAAAATTACTAATAAAATAGCATCAAATACTGTAAAAATTTATCATATAGTATGTAGGTTGCTAGCATCAATTACCTTGTGCTTGTGTTCGTTCTTGCCCTTGTTCGATGTCGGCCATTATTGTCAAAGACAAACTTATTGAATTAGACAACTGCCCATGATAAAATGTAAATAATAAGCTATCAATTTGAAACATAATAACAAACATATTATAATGGAAAAACCATGCTGCAATGCACAAATGTAATGAAACTAAAAATTTTTTTTTTTTGAAAACGAAACTTAAAAATTATTAGGGATAAAAAATTATCTAGTATATCGTCGACAGAACTTCCTTCTAAACCTCGAGCCAAATTTACCAACCACTATAAATCTATCGGTAAATCATCCGCCTAAAGTTGGCGTCAATATTTATCAACCGACAAGATTCCATCAGTAATTTTAGTCGGTAATCCGTTGGTATTCCGTCATAATCTTTTTCTGCAAATTTCTTTATTTTCATAATAAATATGCATCGAGAGTCATTGCTATTCCATTGTTATTCACCAGCAGATTTTTACTATTGGTAAAAACCAATTTTTTTATAAATGCATTTCAAGGACGTAAAGAGAATACAACTATTGTCGCTTAAAGTAATTGATCACAAGCCAATCAGGTATAGATTGGTTGGACTTCTAATTTATATGAAGAATGAAAGATTTTTCGATTATAAGATTTTTCACCAATTTAACAAGTAAATGGAAGACTAATCTTATTATATAGATTACAATGTTCTTTCAGCTTATGTAGAGAAAAGGGAATATCATAAATCATAATTACATAATTTGGAACTACTTGTGTGCAGAAAAGGAAATACAAACGACTAACCTGGAAAGAAGACTCCGCCTTGACAAAGGCTGCGATAACGCCACAAACTTTGCCCCGAAACCAAAGTAGAGATGAAGTGCACGTCTGAACTCACTCCCACCCATTTAGGCATATAACGTTACATTTGTGAATATTCAATTCACAATTGACTACAAATAATTGAATTTGGTCATTGTTTTATATATTTGCTGCAAGTTGTCTATATATGGACGAAAACAGCTACAGAAATTAATTGAATTCAGTTGACTCGCCAAGACTTCAAAAGAACGACTCAAATTTTATATTTCTTTCATAAATGGAACCAAAGATGGTTAGGTTTGATTTTTATCACTTTTATTTTTTTTTTACTAGAATGATTATATGGTTAGGTATTTTTATTTCTTTATTTTTATTATTATTGAGGTCTTAGATAGCAACTTGCTAATTTAATTTCGTCAAAGTAGGTATCAACTTGAAAATTTTTTTTAGTAATTTAATCAAACACATATAAGTCTCCGGAAACGACAAATCCTGCCATTTTTATGTTGTCGGGTTCATACATAATAATTCTTGAAAGCGATTGTTATTGACTAACTAGTCATTGAAAATTACAAGAATCGAGGTGTATTAGAGCTTTTGATTGTTTGGAATAAACAAACAAATCAAAACACGCTTTCTTAATTGAGAATTGAGAAGTAATTTCTAAATTAACTAAACTTACAAAAGCATTTAAACAGAAATTACTTGTTAGTGGTAGCATCATATTTTCACTTTTTCTTTCGCTTTTAATTTTTTATTTACTTTTAATTAATTCAGATCCGTTTTTCTTTTAATAGATCTTTTTTTTATTTTTTTTATTATTGTTTTTATCTGCGTGTCTGAAGTTTTTTTTATCCCTTTTTCCATAAGGGTTTTGGTCCTTTTCAGGAGCGAAACTATGACAATTATTCTGGAGAAACCAAATGAATTTTTTTTTTTTTTTTTTTTTGGTCCTTTTTCAGGAGCGACAACTATGACAATTATTCTGGGAGAAACCAAATGAATTTTTTTTTTTTTTTTTTTTTTTGAACCTGGCAGGCAAAAATATATCTTTCTATATTTTTTTTTTTTTTTTTTTTTTGAACCTGGAGGCAAAATATAATCTTTCTATATTTTAAAGGATTAAAATGTCATTTTTATAAGAAAACATTTTAAAAAAAAATTTTTTTGGGGGCCACCTGTCCCTTAGGGACAAGGGAGCTCCGCCTCTAGTCCTTTCATTGCAAAAGTTTAGTACTAAATAAAGATATGATATTTGATTTTATTTGATTGAAGAATTTAAATCTTGATTTGCGAATATATATCTTTGATCAATGGGACCTCATAATGCGACATGTTGTTTCATTGATATTATTGACGCATAGTGGTAGAAACTCACATATTTATGCCATATGCAACAAGTTCTTGAAAAAGCAATCTAATTATAAAAGATCTACAGAAGTTATTTCATCGTCAAAATCAATTAAAAGACCAATTACTAATATTAAGATTTATATTTATTGTCAAGGTCATTTTCTGACAGAAAAATCTAATATTATCTTTTTTAATTATAATTTTATTATTCAAAAATACAGATAATTCTTTTGATTTATTAAAAGATTAGCAAACTTTCTATTAATTATAATAATAAGTTCTATGGCTGATGTATTAGAGTATTTGTAATTCTTGTTATTATTATTAATGAATTATATTCTTAAAAAAAATAATAATAGACTTTATTAATTAAGCATTTATCTTATATTATAAATCAACGAAAATCAGAATTTGTCAAAATGTAAAATAATTAAAAAAATTTGTCAGTACCTAAAAAATCTTACAAAATAAACTCTAGCAGATTTGATTAGGTACTAATTTTGAAACAAAGAAAATAATTTTGGAAAATACCTAAAGAAAGGAGTTTGGAAAAAGGAGAGAACTAAAAGTTAACTTATTTTGATATTTTCAACTCGACTCACGTATTTGAAATCCCTCCAATTGGAGAGAAGATAGTTACTATTTTTATAAATGGGCATTTGGTCTAAACGCGCAAAGCAATATTGTCTTTCTTATGCTTAACATTTTTGAATATGCATAATTGTTCTAAACGCGGAAAGCAATATTTTAATTTATTGTTGTTTTATAGTTGGTTCATGCTTTAATATATTTGTGAATGATGTTAATATATTTAATTTTATAATTTTTTATTGGCATTAATTACTATTTTTATACGGACAATTCAAAGAGTTCTCTGATTCTCTCCATTGTTCTCGCTTGCAACGCAATCAATCCAAGCTCTTCAACTTGAAGAAATCAACACAGCCACCAAAGAAAAGAGGTATGTGCCTTGATAAAGTTAATATATCTGACTATTTCTCTCTCTCTCTCTCTCTCTCTCTCAAAAACATTATAGTTTGTTTATTGTTGTTAATAGATTTTTTTTATATAGAAAATAGATTTATTTAAAATGTATTCTTGTTTTTGTATTTGGGAGTTGTAGGCACTTCTATTTCTCAGAGACAACTACAGAACCTATGTCGATGAGGAAACCGTCCTCCTCAAATGTAAGTGCCATTAATGATGTGAATATATTTATATATAAGGCATTTAGGCTAATCCTTATTTTTGTATTTAGGCTTCAAGACTTGGTGAATTTGAATCTATAAGGTAAGCTCTCACCACTCTCCTTTAATTATTTGTAATTTCTTCCTTCTACCATAAAACAGCTATTGATTGTCCAAATAACAAAATATCATAATAAATGACAAAAATAAATCCATTAATTGTTAAATCGACTTGATTAAATCTGAAAATAAAATCTCAATATATAAACAATAATAATTTTGATTTCTACTAAAAGATACAAATGTGATATTTTTTATAAAAAAAAAAAAAAAAAGGAATATTAAAGAAAACTGAGCTAGAAGGAAAATGGATGACCACTAGTGAGAGTTCCCCGTAGCCATTCATAGATGAATAAAAAAGGAATTTTTTTGAGTTGGATTTTTTATTTTTGAGAGAACACAAATATTTATTTATACATACATACACAATGGAAATTTTTTAATTAGATTATGACTATCATATCACCTTAATCCAGCAGCTCAATCCATATATTAAGGAAGCATATGGTTCAATTGTTTCATACAATTGACAACTGATTTCTACTCAATAGCTAAATTAGTTATCTGATTTCATCTGCTCTATTAGAGAGTTTTTTCTTATTAGTTTATAATTAATTTGTTTTTATATTATATATTTAGACCGCATTAACCTTATAAAATAATTATTAATAAAACTATTATTTTTTATGATTTCATCTGGTTGATTAATCTTATAAATTATTATTCACGAACTCCAATTTCTTATTGTTTTTTCTTTGCGTATAAGTTGCAAACAATGAGTAAGAGTGCCATACAAATTTAATGAATCAATGGTGGATTAAGTTTAAGAGTGCGATTAAGACCTACTCTTCACAGATTTGAATAAATTGTGTCATGGATTATCCTGGGCACAAGTTGATAAGATTTTTAAATACGATAATAAATTCATCTCATTCGGCCTGAGTTGTGTTGTTTAGTGCGTCTAAATTTGTCTGAAATCAATTTGAGAAAGCTTAATTAATGATAACAACAACACAAAGTGGCCTACCTTGTTATATTTTATTTTAATCCCAGATTGTAATGAACTAATCTGCAATTTTTATACTATAATGATACTATTAGTATTGTTTTATAGTGAAGAAATGCTCTTGTTCAAATATGTGTCATGTCATTGCCATATAATAGTAAAATAATATATTCACCTTAAAAATAAAAAATATAAACATAAATAATACATAAAAATTATTTTACTCTCAATAATCATTGTATAACTTAATGGGAACTATTACCAAATTTTACCAAACCATCAACGTTGACAACAATACAGGTTCACCATTGGAAGAGTATCTTTGGGAACGTATTCTACTTCTCCTAGATCTTCTCAATTGAGGTAGTTCTTCTATAGGAGTTGCCTCAACATCATTCTATATAGGTTCATCATCATTTTCTTACTCACCTCCTCAATCACCCTATGGTACTACAGGAGGTTTTATATCAAGATCAACATGCAACTCATTGACAGGCTTTGGCTTCTCATTTTTCTTAAAGTCTTCAATGGTTTCGTCTTTACATTACATCTCTATTTCTTACAATCTTCTTTTTAGTTGCATCTCATAGTTTTTACCCATATTTTTTATATCCATAACCCAAGAAGATACACATCTTTGACTCAGAATCAAGCTTGGATCTTTCATCTTTTGAAATGTGAACAGAGGTCCTGCAACCAAACACCCTAAGGTGATCATAAGAAACATCTTTCCTTATTCACACTTTTTTTGGCACATTTTCATTAAGAGAAACTGAAGGAGAAAGGTTAATCAAGTAAATTGCAGTTCTCATTGCTTCATCCTAAAGGATCTTAGGAAGTTTATGATGAGAAAGCATGCATCGAATCCTTCCAACAATGGTTTTATCCATTCTCTCATCAACCCATTTTGTTTTAGAGTTTTAAGAATTTTCTTCTCAAGCCTAATGTTATGATCCTTATAATATTCTGCCAATGGTCTCATACACTCACCACTATAGTTAGCTTTGACACACTTCAATTATCTTTTTGTTTCTCTCTCAATACTGGCATGAAAGTACTTGAACATATCTAACACCTAGTCTGTTGATTTCATAGGAAAAGTCCACACTTTTCTAGACTGGTCATCAATAAAAGTAGCAGAATATGTACAACTTCTCTCCCACTTCGCAAACTTATAGCACGCGCATTTTCTCTAGGATTTATCACTGTTTGTAATGGAAGCTTACCAGAACCATGAGCTTCAAGTTTACTCACAGATGAAGCTAACTGACCAATTTGCTTCTCTATGTTCTTAATGCTATTCCTAGTCTCTTGTTGAAATTGTTGTGTCTAGTTAGCCAAAGCCTAAACAATTTCATCAAGTGACAAACCTTAATTTTGGGAAGAGGAGGGTGATTGATTTACTTGTGGCCTCTGCTGTTGGTATACATTTTGTATCGATTGATTCCCATGACTCAGATTCGGATGGTCTCACCATCCTGGATTATAAGAATTAGAATAGGGATCATAGCTGCGTTGTTGCTGTCCAACAAGCATACCCGTAAAATAATTAGCTCTTATATCACTTATTGGGAAAATTTACAAATACAAGCACGCAGAATAATAATATGGATAAATACTTTTTCATCTTTATGCAAATCAAACGCGTGACACTAATATATTAAGACAATAACAATAATAATAGCCAAGCAAAAATAAAACAAATCATCAATGCATAAGAACACTAATTTTTACTTGAAAAATCCTCCAAGGAGAAGGGAAAAACCATGGGATTGAAGTCTACTAAAAACTCTTCCACTAATAAAATTAATAGGCTACACAAAGTTTCTCTCTAGACTAACTAGAGGCTACACAAACATCATCAAGGGACGTCCTTGGATACTGTAAATTTAATCTTCATCTAAAATGGGATTTTAATAATAAAATACAAGCGATAAAGAGCTCATTTGGAACAAATGAATTCCACGAAATTGTATGGAATTCATTTGAAAATCTAAAATTTTGTGTTTGGAATGAAAAAAAATGGATTTATATTCTAGGAATTGAATTCCATGGAATTGGGTAAGCTTAGTTCAAATCCTATAAAAATTGTTAAAATTTGCAAATGAATTGCACATTTTAACCCACTAACATTTTTATTGACTAAATTGCCCCCTTACGTCAAATGCCCAAAACGTGTGTTTCCTCTGTATCTCCTCTTTATCATATACCTTCTCATCTCCTAGACAGTAGTTGCTCATCATCTCCTTAGCCTATCTCCTTCTCACCACGTCTTTGAGCTGCAATTCTCATCCATCGCACCAACAGGTCAGTGAGAGTTTTTAGTTTCTTCATTAATATTTGAATATAATTCGAAATAGCGTTATCTCCTCATTTCTCTTTGATATGATTTGGTTTGAATGTTAAGGTTAATGGATTTGCAAATGTTTAATTCGTGATTTTTGATTATTTAGCTTGCTTTATCTTAAATTTATTTACCATTATTTTATCATCCATTATGTGTTTGATGAAATGCTTCAACAAAGCGAATGAGGTTAATGGGCTTTTCTTGTTTGATCCTTTTCTTTTCTTGTTATTTCCCTTTGCTTTTATGGGCTCTTTGATTAGAGAAAAGGGCATTTGAAGATTACTCTGAAGGTTTGATATATATCTTCTTTTTTCTTTACCCCTTCTTTTTCTGAAGCTCTTATATTTTTAATTCCCTCTGCCTTTTTTGACTGTATTGAGGAAGTGGAAACATGCACTTGTGTTGTGACCTTTAGTATTATTAGCCTTTTGAGTTGAAGATGCTTTTTGTCAATTATGAAAGCAGCTTTGTTTAAAAGGGTTAGAGAACTAAGTTTCATATCATTAAAAAAAATTTGCTTTAGACTATTTGGTATTAATCAAGTTTCTGTGTTATATTTAATCGAATTAGTTAATTCTTGCCTTTTCATGTTTAGTTTATTGGCAGGAAGACTTTTCATTCATTAATTTTGGACCCTAGTAAATTAGCAAAGTAGATAACAACCACAATTTTGGACCTAGTAAATTAAGCAAAAGTAGGATTAACAACCACCTTGAACCTAGCAATATAATTCCCTTGCACGTTTTTGAAGAATATAAAGGATTTTTTTTTTTTGGAAACAATTCAATCTGTAGATGAGAACGAAATTCAAATCTAAGTTATTTTTATTATTTAGTTCTTCTTGGACAGTTTCATCATCTTCCATTTGAGTTCCTTGGACAGTTCATCATCTTCCATTTGAGGAGCCCATGATACTAAAACGCCCTGCATGAAATTGAAATATTAATTGAATCCAGTCTAGTAAGAAATTAAAACAAACAATCAAATAGTAAATAATAGGTTTTCTAGTAATATATAATTACCCGTATTTTACTTTCTGGTATGGAGTAAAGCTTTTTACAAGGCTAGCTCCAAATCTCTACTACAATTTATTAGTATCATATAAACTGTTTAAAAACAGAAACCTTACTGCCATGTAGTTATCAGTATCACATAAGCTATTTGTTGTTTGGCTAACTGTGCTTTTAAGTTTCATATTATTTACATTAGTGAGTGATAATTCATCAATTCTTAGCCTATATGACATATCATGTTTGGTTTCAATTCTATTATAAGTACAAATGGTAACGACAAGAGAAATTTTCCCAACTTTAATAATAATGTCTTCTCTAGCTATATAGTATATTATCTAATTGTTTTATTAATTTTCATATTTATGTTAAATATTCAGGAAATATGAGAGACATTCACAGAAAAGCAATTGCAACCTTTATTGCATATGCTGGATATTTAGTTTTCTTGCTATGTTTTTATCGAGATGTTAAGAGACCACTATTTGTCTCTAGTAATAATAATAACTATAATGTTAGGCAAGAATTAATGAATGAACTAAAAACCTATGATAATTCTCGTTATATCTTCCGAATGGCATCACAAGCATTCAGAATTTTAGTTAATATTTTAAAAAGAAAAAATTTGCTCAAAGATAACAATTACAGTAGTGTTGAGGAACAAGTGGCGAAATTTTTATACATTTTAGCCCATAATGAGAAAATTCGTGTTGTAAACTTTTTCTTTCGACAGAGTGGAGGTAAGCCGTCATTTTCACCAAGTTCTTAAAGCAATTATATCATTAGAAGAAGAACTTTTGGTGCAACCCGATGGTTCTACAATTCCCTCAAAAAGTTTGCATAGTGGAGGAAGATTATAGCCATACTTTCAGGTTAGTGAACTTAGGGTTATGATCTTTAGTTAAGTTGAACTTAGGGTTATGATCTTTAGTTATATTACATATTTGCATTAATATTTCTTATTATTTAAGTTCTATTGTATAGAATTGCATCAGTGCTATTGATGGAATGCACATTCGTGTTAATGTTCCAAAAAAGAGATGTGCCCAGGGCATAGAGGAAGGAAAGGAATACCTTATAATGAAAAATATTAGCGGCTTGCACCTTTTTGATTTAAAAATTCACCTATGTGTTGCTAGGTAGGAAGGATCAGCTTCAGATCAAGAAATATTTTTTAAGAAAATGTTTAACTAGGAAGATAACCTTAAGGTCCCTCAAGGTAATTTTCTTAAAGTCCCTCAAGGTAATTTTAATCAAATAACAATTGAATTCATTAATTTTTTAGTTGAGTGGTTAGTGAAACATACATTTTTAATTTATACTATGTAAATTTTATTTAGTGGATGCTAGCTATCCTTTAAGATTAGATTTCATTACCCCTTATCGAAGTATTAGATATCATTTGAAAGAGTACTCATATTGTCCTCCTGAAAATGCACGAGAATTGTTCAAACTTCGACATACATCATTAAGGAATGCAATAGAAGGGCCTTTGGAGTACTTAAAAAAAGATTTCCTATCATAGCTAGTGGAACAGAAGCATAATTGATGTTGAAACTAGGTCTAAGATTGTACTTGCTTGTTGCATTTTACATAACTTTCTTATGATGTATGATCTGGATGAAGACATTTTACGGCAAGTAGATACTGAGTTGTTAGGAGATCCCATTGAATTTCAAAATATTACACACGTGGCCAGAGATGTTGATGCTAGACAAGGAGAGCAAATTAGAGATCACATAGCTGCTCAGATGTATCAGCACATGTATCTTTGACCAGCCACAGATTTGGTGTAGAGATACTGATTTTCTATTCCTTGATTTTGGTTTCTGTTACAGATTTTCTGCTTGTTTAAATTCAATAAATCTCCTCTGTTTTAGGAGATTTTAGTTGTTATTCTTGTGTATAAATTCAATTCAATTTCTCAATAAAATCATCAAGTCATTCCTGAATTTCCCTTTGTTTATATGGTATCAGAGCTGTATTAGCTCTAGCGAGTAACATTCTCTGAATATCCAACCCAATCTCATCAAATGGCCTCCAACGTAAATGTCATTAATGCTGATTCCAATAACAACAATACTAATGTTGTTCAATTCAATCCAGTATCTCAATTACCAATTAAACTTATTGGCAGCCACAATTTTGCCACTTGGAAAGCCCAAATGCCACTTTGGAAAAGCCCAAATATCCATGCATCATGCATGGACACAACCTTGTTTTGGCATTCTAGATGGAACCCTTTTTCCCCCCCCCCAGCTCCCCCCTCACCTACTTCTTACCCAAGATAATCAGCCAAATTGCAACCCCAACTCTACAGTATTTGGTTCCGACAAGACCAATTTTGATCCAGAATGCAATCATGGCATCTGTCGAAATTCAACAATTGCTCCAACTGGTTTGCTGCTGCCTCAACCGCCAACTTGCATGAGCTCTCTTCACCACAAGCGTATGCAAATAAGTCCCAAACACGAATTCTTCAGTTCTAAGAGACCAGGCTTGCTCGTCTTACAAAAGGGATTCCCGACCTTGTTGACAGATTATCTTCATCAAAGCTACGATCTCTTTGTGATGAACTTGCAACAGCAGGAAAGCCAGATACTCTTGATGATGAATTAATTGTTGAAAATTCTCAGTGGTCTTGGACCAGAATTCCGTGAGGATTTCTGTGCTTGCAATTCGGCCAAAGAGATTCTGTTATCTTCCTACGAAGCGAATTATTATGAGAAGTCTGCTGATTCACGAATTATTTCTTTCAACAGAGAATCAAAGAAGGTGTCGCCTCCCAATCACAGCTGCAATTGCCACCCGCAATAGATTCAACAATTTCAACAATCGCAATAATCGTCGATTCAATAACAACACAAACTCTCAGTTGGGCCTCAATAATCGTTCCAATTCTTCTACTCAAGGGCGTTCAATGAACAACAATCCAGTACGTTGTCGATTCAATAACAACACAAACTCTCAGTTGGGCCTCAATAATCGTTCCAATTCTTCTACTCAAGGGCGTTCAATGAACAACAATCCAGTACGTTGTCAATTGTGCAATAAACTTGGTCATACGGCGAATGTCTGTAGATCTCAATCTCACAACCATCTAGAAGCCAAGGCCAATTATGTCTCTGCTAAGCAAGCTACTGCTAGTCCGTGGATTCTTGACTCAGGTGCCTCTCACCACGATCACTTCACATTGCGTTCTAGAAAATTAATTGCATTCAGATTAATGCTTTTAACTTGCCATAAACACCTTATGTGCACCTGATATTAAACAAAAATCTTTGTTTCTGTTTTTTCAAAGTTTAATCAAGATAACCTCACCTCCATTGAATTTTCTTTCCTTTTTGATTTTTGTGTTGAAGGACTTTTGAAAAACGAGGACTTCCGGCTTTGGTTTACGGTCGGAATAGAGACGGGGACTTTATGAATGGCCAAACTGCACCAAAGTCCATCAAACCCATCGTTAATCTCTACCATCACCAAACCAATTCCTCTCCATTTACATGCACAACCGTCTTGGCCATCCCCACGCTTCAAAAATTTTTCAGATTTATTTGTAAAATAAATTTTGCCTTTACCAGTTTTTCATCAAAGAGGACAAGTTCACTTTTATGTAACTCATGTTGCTCCAATAAAGTGCACCGTTTTTCCCTTCCAACAAGTTATCCCTATCCAGGAATGCTCCTCTTTCAAACTTTATTCAGTGATTTGTGGGGACCCTCCCCAGTTCTTTCCATTACAAAAAAAGTACATATTGTATTTTTGTTGACCAATACCAACCAAATGTACACCTGGTTTGTACACACTTAAAAATAAAAGTGATGTTTCAAGGAAATATTCAAAAAAATTTCATCCATTAAGTGCAACGATATTTTAAAAACTAAAATTGTTTCACTTTACACTGATGGTGGAGGAGAATATAAAAGCTTAGATTCATATCTTAGCTCCCATGGCATAGAACACTTAATCTCACCTCCCATTTACCCCAACAAAGAGTGGCTTTAGCTGAACGCCGTCACCGGCACATTGTTGAAACTCCAAAGACCCTTTTACATACTTGCCTCAATTACCATCATCTTTTTGGTCATTTGCTTGTCAATTCACGTCTACCTATCTCATCAACGACTACCCACCACCAAACCTAAAAAATCAATCACCATTTGAGAAATTATTTGGTGTTCCCCCCAACTATAAATTCCCTACGCACTTTTGGATGTCTATGTTTACCCTTGGCTTAAGCCTTATACTTTAAATAAACTTCAGCCCCGGTCCACCCCCTGTGTCTAACTTAGGTTTTTCTCAAACTCATTATGCTCATTCAATGTTTTTGACCCAACTAACTCTAAAGTTTATTATCTCCCAGATTGTGAAATTTCTTTGAAAATAATTTTTTCCCTCTCCAAAACTTATTTTCTCTTCATCTTCAAACCCCCATTTTCCTTCTATCACAGGGAAATTTGTTGATAACCCACTTCTCCGATTTACTAGCCAGCCCAAACCCACCTTCCCCAATTGATCCTAATTCAATTATTGCCTTTACCCTCACCTATTAACTGTTTAGGGAAAACCACACAACCAATACGCACCGTCCGTCTCCTCCAGTCATTTTCTTCCCTACGGGATTCCACGGTTCAGGTTACTTCTTTATCTTCCCTTCCAACTTCCCAAAATACTTCTCTCATTACATATCATGTGCCACACACATTTCATCCTCTTGCTACCACCCTTTTACCAACCCCAATCTCTTCCCTCACCTTCTCATTTCCTCCATCCAGCAGTCAATCCCACAACACACCAAAACTCCCTCCCCTCCCTACCACCACCACCACACCCCCACCTAACCGGCCCCACCACCAGATCCCAGGAATTAACATATTTCGCCCTCGTAAACCGTTTGACTATCTTGCTCTCCTTTCCTCCTGCCATCACTTCCCCTACATTTAAACAGCCAAAAATACCCAGAATGGAAACAGGGCAATGAAAGCAGAATTGATGCATTAATTCGATTTGATGCATTAATTCGGAATCAAACGTGCGCACTTGTTCCCAAGGCTTCTAACCAGAATATTGTTCAGTGTAAATGGATTTACAGGATAAAAAGGAAAGCAGATGGTTCATTTGATAGATGCAAGGCTCGCCTTGTAGCCAACGGATTTACTCAACGCCCCGGCATTGACTATCACTGCACTTACAGCCCTGTTGTCAAACCAACCACAGTCCGTATTGTTCTTTCTCTTGCTGTGCAAAATAATTGGGTTCTGAATCAGCTTGATGTCAATAACGCATTTCTCTAAGGGACACTTGAAGAAGAGGTTTTTATGTCTCAACCTCCTGGATTTGAAGATTCTACTCATCCATCTCATGTTTGCCGCTTGAGGAAGGCTATCTATGGACTTAAACAGGCACCTCGTGCCTGGTACAATGAGTTTACATCACATCTGCTACAACTGGGTTTTGTTAAATCCAAATCTGATCCATAAATCTGTCCATCTCTTTTTTTATTTAACCAAACATCGCAAGGGCATATTTATCTCTTGGTGTATTGGTGTATGTGGACGATATAATTCTTACTGGCAGTGACACTTTGATCGTCAAACAGATCACTTCATCTCTAGCAGCCCGTTTTTCTCTCAAAGATCTTGGTCCCTTGAATTACTTCCTTGGCATTGAGGTTCATCGTAATGGATCTGGATTAATTCTCTCACAAGCTAAGTACATTTCTGAACTTCTCCATGATCTCAATATGCATGAGTGCAAGGGTGTCCAAACTCCGATGAGCTCTACTCAAAGTTTGCAGTTGAATGATGGCAGTCCCTCTCATAATGCCACTGAGTATCGACATGTAATGGGAACGTTACAGTACTTGTCGTTTACTCGACCCGATGTTGCCTTCTCTGTAAACCGGTTATCTCAATTCATGCACTCCCCCTCTGAATCTCACTGGAAAGCTGTCAAACGTCTTCTCCGGTATCTCAAACAAACTGCTCATTATGGTCTTCGTCTCACTAGTTGCAGCAACTTTACCCTCACTGTGTATTCTGATGCTGATTGGGCCGGCAACATTACTGATCGAAGTTCTACGACAGGATATCTTCTTTATCTTGGTCTTAATCCCATCAGCTGGTCTTCAAAAAAACAGAGAACCATTGCTCGTTCATCTACGGAAGCTCTTCAAAATTTGCGTACGGTAAAGCTGCACATCTCCACTTGAGAACAGAACCGTACTTTCAGCTCGAATCTTTTTTCGAGGGATTACAAACCCATTATCACCTCAATTTTGGATCGACTATCCATTGACACGCGTCCGTTGACTAGAAAACCAAACTTATGGGTGCTATTAAAAAACCTACGGGAAATCAAAATAGAAGCCTCAGTTTGATTTTGTAGGGGGGTCCTTCTATGTGGACTTTCATACCGGGACGACACCTGCCCACAAGTCTTTTAACGAAATATCGTAACGTATTATGCTGAACATATCCTACGTGAAGGTCACTACTTGGCCGCAAGTTAGACCCCTATATATTTGGTAACAACGATCTGTCCTTCAATTATTCTGAAGGTGAAAAATCAAATGAAATGAGATCGTTAGTCTAGTTTAGAGTGTTCTTTCTAACAATAACTAGGTCAGACCAGAAAATAAAGAGTTTTATTTCAAAGAGGGGTCAATTCTTTCAAGACATGTCCCCTAGTTTGTTCCAGATGGAATCTCTCATTGAAGGGTATTCCCTAAGTAACCCAAAAGATGCACCCAGTTAGGAATTGATTTACTCTATATCCATCCCAAAATAGAGAGGAATACTAATACAGAGGATGAGCGGCAGCGAAATTCTTTGGCTGTTGATTCGAGGTGTTCAGCTTGATAAAGAAACACGGATTGCACATTGACAGCCGACTATCGTCAAGAATTCTCTCTTACTATTTGCATGGGAACAGGTTGCATGCTTCGAAAGTATCTATTTCCGTCAACCTCATTCCAATAATAATTTCTCTATATCTCATGTGGTAGTTTGGTTCCACACGCTATTCTATCCACTTTGTCCTATTAGGGGTGATTACTGGATGCATAATGCATCAGGCGAATACGGGGCTTTAATGAGTTTCTAATATGCAACGTCCAGGCATTTCCACTTTCCTCGATCCGATAAAGTGCATTGTGTGGAACTGGGATTGGAACGCCAAGTTCTCTAGATTCAGGGGGTTTCCTGCTATAGCCGCAAGACACGTGTAAGGTGCTAAGTATGAGACCAGTATACAACTGAATGTATGTGGATTGTGAGACCAGAAAGAATCACTTTGTATATTGGGTTAAATCTGGTAGATCACTCTCACTTTATTGGCGATTTTCCCCCATGTTAGTATCTAATCGATTTGTATCCCAGAGGTCACGTATGCATATTATATAAATTCACTTTTGATATATTCTGCCATTAGATATTATATCTCAAGGTGGAGCGAGTGTGTAGATGAGATATGCTATTAATAATTAACGCGCTGTGGTGGATATAGTTTTGGCGGATTACAATTCAGTTTCTCATAAAAATCATCAAGTCATTCCTTGAAGTCTCCTCCCTTGTGTTTATAAGAATCGTGAGCTAATGTATAATATTCTTAGATTTTGTGGAATTGAATTATTTAAATCTTGTATTTGAGAGCATTAGCATTTCTGTGTTTGTACTTATTTTATTGATGTTGAGACTTAGGAATGACGTGACTTTCTTATTCTTGTGTTGATTTCATATTTTGTTCAATCTATTTCAACGTAAGTAAGATGGATGTGTTTGGAAACTTTTTGTTTATTTTGAGTATCATAGTAGTAGATGGACAGGCAAAGTGCAAGATACAATTGAAAATACATTCAATTGGAAAAACTGAAAAGTATTTCAAGCGGCACACAGAGAGTGGGACCAGACTTCTTTCTTGGATCTTTTGGAAAAGGAAAAAATAAGAGGGGCAATAAAGGAACGAGATAAAATCTTAACAAAGATCTTGGAGATACCGGTTTATTGATTCTCTCTTTAATATTTTTGGAAATTTCAAAAGATAAAAAGACCATTGATAAGTGCAGAAAAAACAGTGTGTTAAATAGATTAAAAACTATTCAAAAACTAAATGTATTTAAGCTCAATTGCAGAAACTTACTTATTGTAGGTTGGATAAGCAAGATGTATGAGGGGTCTTGCGATGTGAGGAAATGGAATTAACAATTTATCTGAGGAAATGCGAAGCTGCATTGATAGCATACTTAGCGAACCGATATGTCGTTGGTGAGAACAAGTGTGAAGAGAAGATGTAAGTGAGTTACATAGATATGCGTTTTTGTCGTATCTATCAGAGTGAAGTTGGATTGTGCTATGTTATGCTTATCTATTTGTTGTTTCTCTTTTTTTTACTATATATTGATATAGTATATCTCTGTATTATGATCCATTTTTTGTATTTTTGTTTTTAAAGGTATGAAAGTGCTATTGTTTGTTTAATTATATATGGAATCCATGTTTTAATTTTGAGAATATATTTAAAATCTATTTAATAAGATCTTAATTTTGAGGAGAGACTCTTATTGAATGTATTATTTTTAATTAATTTTATGGTGGTTGAGTGGTATTACTCTATTTATATTAGTGTTTTTTGTTAAATATTTATGTCAAATTAGTGTCTTTTAGAAAATAAAGACAATGAATTTTCATTTAAGATATTCTTTCAAATATAATTTGTGCAATTTTTGGTTTCTGTTACAGATTTTCTGCTTGTTTAAATTCAATAAATCTCCTCTGTTTTAGGAGATTTTAGTTGTTATTCTTGTGTATAAATTCAATTCAGTTTCTCAATAAAATCATCAAGTCATTCCTGAATTTCCCTTTGTTTATAAGATGTGGCTAAATGATCTAAATAATTCTTAGATTTTGTGATTGAATTATTTAAATCTTGTATTTGAGAGCATGCATTTCTTGTTTGTACTTATTTTATTGATTTGAGAACTTATATGTGCTTTCTTATTCTTTGATTGATTTCATTATTGTCAATCATATTTCAACTAAGTAATGGATGTGTTTGAAACATATTTTGGTTTATTTGATATCATAAGTAGATGGACACAAAAGTGCAAGATAAAATTGAAAATACTTCAATTGGAAAAACTGAAAAGTATTTCAAGCGGCCACGAGAGATGGACCAACTTCTTCTTGATCTTTTGGAAAAGGAAAAAACTAAGGGCAATAAGGAGGAGATAAAATTTAACAAGAATGCTTGGAATACGGTTATTATTTCTCTTAATATTGAATTTCAAAAGATAGAAAAGACAATTGATAAGGCAAAAACAGTTAATAGATTAAAAACTATTCAAAAACTAATGTATTTAGCTATTGAGCTTTTTGGATAAGAAGAGTGGGTTTGGATGGAATGATATTACAAAGAAGATTGAAGCTACTCCAAGTGTTTGGAACAGTGTGAAGAGAAGATTGTCCAAGTGTTTGGGACAGAGTGAAGATTGAAGATTGTGCTAATGTTATTGCTATATCTAAAATAAAAGTTGTCATTTCTCTTTTTCCTTCTTGTTATATATCTCTGTAATTATATTTTTTCTAGTTTTTGTTTTTAAAGAGTATGAAGTTGCTATTGTATATGATTATATAATTATATATTGAATCCAAATGAAATTTTTAATTTTGAATATATTTAATCTATTAATAAAATAAAATTAAACATTTGCAAGGACTTAAAATATGAAATTTTAAATTTAATTAATTAATTTTGGTGGAATATGAGTGTATTTATTTATATTAGTGTTTTTGTTAAATATTTATGTCAATAGTGTTTTAGAAAATAAAGACAAATGAATTTTCATTTAAGAATTCTTTCAAATATAATTTTGTGCAATTCAATTGAATTTTTTATTTTAAATTATAGTATACTAAACATAACAAATTCATTTACAAATGAAATCATTTACAACGATTATGATTCATTTATTCCAAAAGGACTCAAAGTGATTAAATCTCACCAATAAGGAGAGAGAATCCAAACTGTTTACCGTGTAGAGCTTGGAAAGAAGAGCGCCATATCAAAATTCCATCAACGTTGGGTAAACCATTAGATGAAGGCTCTGAATATCTCCTTTAGGTTTCTCTTTTTCTCTATCTCAACGCTTTCTCTCTTTTGTTTTGTTTTTGCCACCTCTCTTGCACACACACAGGGCACTGCCTTTTTTAACTTTCATATATATTAATTGTATGGCGGTGGGTTTTAACCCATTTGAACGGGACCCATGCCAATACTTTATGTTAATTGCTAATTTTTATAATTGATTCTTGTTTTTCATATTTAGATTCCACAACTTCCAAAACCGTAAGCTCTCAATTCCCCTTTTACATGTGTTTTTTCCTTGTTTTACTTGCTACGAGTTAATTGAATTTATTATTTTCAAATTTCTTTGGTTGATTTTTTTAAGAATTTCAAATTCTCTGTTTCGTCAATCTTAAAAATTATTATTCAATTACTTAAATTTCTTATTATTTATCTTTGCGTATAAATTGCAAACAATGCATAAGAGTGCTGTGCTAATTTAATGAATCAATGGTGAGTTAAGTTTAATGTTAGGCAATGAGGTTTTGTTTTCAAGTCCTTCATGAAAAAGTTAGAACTCAGAAATTTGGCACAAATGGATAGGTTTCTCGAATTTGATATCATCTCATTCGGCCTGAGTTGGGTTATTTAGTGGGCCTAAGTTTGTCTGCAGCCAAGTTTGAGAAATCTTAATTAATGGTAATAACAAAGAAAAAGGTGGTCCGACCTTGTTATATTTTAGTTTAATGCCAGATTTGTAATGAACTTATTTGCAACTTTCATACAGTAACAATATTGTTGGAACTATTTTGTATCGAAGAAATGTGAGAAAAAGATCGAAGCCACAGTATTTATTTCACTCAAGATTGGGTAGAGAGCTAGTGGAGAAAGACCTCCTAGGAATAAGAGATATAGACCTCCTAGGAATAAGAGATATAGGGCTAAAGAGAGAGCCAAAAAAAGATATTTCGTGTATAGTCCTACATAATCTCGAATATTACCAATTCCGGTATGTAGACCAAATAATACAATATAACAAATGTTTCTAGATTTATGGAGATATAGAAGAGCATATAAGTTCTTATTTGAAATTCGTGTCATGCCTAAGATATATAGTCATGAAGCTAGAAATTAAAGTTATAAAAGACTAAAAAAATTTTCAAGAGTTAAGACGGGTGAAATTGAAAAAATTTATTGTTTTCAAAGGTAAAATAAAAAAATTATAATATTTTATGGATGATTTTTTTTAAAAATATTTTTGTTAGGGGGGCAGAGCCACCCCTGTACCCCCTAACTCCGTCAATGCCCATATAAATATTAGGCTTGTAATAAACCCAAGCTGAAATTGATTTTTACTAAAAAAAAAAAAATACCACCCGTAAGTGTTTAGATTTAAGAGTTCGTAAAATCAAAATCTTATCTAAATAAAGGTTATGATATTTTGCTAATTTTTATCAAATCTGATTCTTTTTATTGTAAACAACTAACTAAAGTTTATTTTTATCGTAAATTATCAAATTCTAATTTTTGTTATTTCCTTCGTCCTAAAAAGATAGTTCATTTTTCCTTTTTGGTTTGTCCTAAAATATAGTCATTTCTTTTTTTGCATTATAGTTAATCCTTAAATTGTCCATTATACCCTTATTAAATTTTATCTTATTTTCAATAATCCTCATCACTTCTTACTTATTATTCCAATATGATAATTGTTCATGTGTTATTTAAGATGAGTAAATTGTCATTTAACCATAATAATTGTTATTTTCTTAATCTGTATAAAAATAAAAAGTAAACTATCTTTTTAAGACGAAGGGAGTATAAGAAATCAATTAAATCTGATTCTTCCTATAAAAAAAAATGAATTTGAGGTTTGAATAATCAGTTTAGCATCAATTTGAATGAAGAATCTAAGTTTTTATGATTATTTAAGTGATATTTGTGCATAAAAATTTTGAAAATTCATTCTTCTTCGTATACCTTTAGTGTTTGCTAGTCAACGGTGTTGATTGTCATTTTGGCATAATTTTATGTTTTTGATTTTTTGGATTTAACCATCTGGTGTTTAAAGTCTGTTTACCCGACTAATTCGGAATCATGACATGTAGACCCACAACTCCCAAGTGTTTAACAGATTATTTGGATAGACATTATTTGATGGGTTTGGAGAGTAAAATAAGATAGAAGGAGGTTATTTAGTTGTTTGGGAAGAGAGTTTGAGGAAGAGTACATTTGTTTCAAAGTTATTTGAGGAGTTGAAAACTCATCTAAACACCTCAATTTTTAACACCACCAATTGGAGTGTAAAAATGGTTAAAAATTTTAATTTTCATAATTATCCATAATTATATTTATAAACCTGCCATGACAAAGGTATTTTCGCGATATTTATATTTAACATTACTTTTCTCTATCATCAAACAAAATAAACGATGTTATTAAACATTCATTTAACATACTTTCTCTACAAACACAAAAAAGACATGTACCATACTTTCCAACACCATATTTTACCATATCTTACTTTAATCCTTCCCTACCTTTATCTAAACAAAGTGTAAAGAGACTCTATATCCGGGGATTAAATATATATTTAAGAGTTAGAAATTAAAATTAAAATAAATGAATGGATTTGTACTTATTGGATTCTTGGCTCGAGTTTAATGCTTATTGGATTTCATTTATTATCACGAATGATACTTATGGTTGAATGGATAAGGATGTATGTTGTATTTTAGTTATTTATTGCAGGTGTTTAATTTATCTTTATATTTGTGATTATGTTAAATCAACATCATAAATCAAGTTTAAAAATTAAAATTGATCCTTATTTAAAAAAACCAATAAACTAGAAGCCAACACCAAAACACTTTCTCAAGCTAATACCTAATTTACTTATCCAGGCTTTAGTAAATTTAACTAATCATTAAACTGTGTTCTTATTTTTTTTATTTGGCATTTGCAGGAACTTCCCGTCTTCTCAACGAGAAGAGGATAGAGGTGCGTCCATCCGAAAATTGCAGTCTACTAGACCGGTTTGGAAGCCCTAAATGTTCAAGCTACTATATTATCTAAGTATGAATTTTTATTTTTTTTGTCTTTTTTAATCTAACTAAGATCCTCTGATAAACACTGAAATAAGGGATTTTGTTTTTAGTTTGACAATCATATGTGGTTTGGATTGTTCTGTTATTAAGTCCAGTTTGTTGAACTTGAGTTTGAAGAATGGTGAAAATGCTTACACGTGGAAAGCTCTTTGAAAGTAAAATTGTCTTAATCGGTTGATCCGTTCACACAAATAATTAAATGCATGAATTCATATCTGAAATTTACAATTTTATCATAAATGAATTATTATGCACTTAAATTTATAAATTTTGGTAAAATTTCAAAATTTTTCTGCACCAATAACAATGGTTTTTAGGATTTTTGACGATATGTAAAATATCAAATTTTATGTGTAGTTAATAAGTTTTTAAATCAATAATTTTTATATTTTTTAATTATTTAATAATCTAATTTGTAAGTTGAAGTATTCAATAAAATAATTCTATAAGTTGAAGTGTTTAATAAATGTAATTTTATAAATTTAAAATATTTAATGGGTGAAGGAAAAAATTGAGAACGTTACAAACTTAAAGTAATAAGTTTGATGGGTAAATTATGTATTTCACCTCACACAGATAAAAGTGAAATTGACCATATGGAGGATTGTCGACAAAAAAAAAAAAAGAGAGAATGATATTTAAGTGTCATAAGATTTTCTCTCTTTTTAAAAAAAATTTTTAATTATAATTTATGGAGTTTATTCTATATTTAATTTCAGTTGTTATGATCACTATTTTCACTATTATTGAGGGCCTTTTTTCGTTTCAAATTGATAGAAAAAATAAGAAAATGTGCGTTCTGATGACTTTCACTTTATTTTATTTTATTTTTAATTATAATTGGCTATGGTTGTTTGGAAAACATAACCAAAATAGAGTAATTTGAAGTTTCACAGCGGATTAATGTCCTTGTGGTGTATTTCATTTTGAAGTATTGATGAATCAGCTGTAATATTTTTTAGTGACTACTAATTATTCAGTGGATGTTAACTGAGAAATAGATAATTCTTTGGTTTTAAAATTGATATTTTTTTTACCTGTCTTCTTGAAGATTGAATTTGCTGTAAAAATCATCACGCATTATATAGTTGAAGGTTTTGTTTGCTGTAAAATCCTTCGCATTCTGAATTTTGGTCGTGGTTGAAGACGAGGTCGAGAGAGTGGATCTAGACAGGGTCATTCTCGTAATTTCGTTTAAAATTCACAATTTTGGACAAAATAGTACGACAAAAGCAACGCATGAGGATAAAATATATCTATTTTTAAAATGACAATAACAAAGTAGTTATTTATTAACAAAATTATAATTTTCCGAAAATGATCCCGCTAGTTCCAATTTAAAAAAAAAAAAGAAAAAGTGGTGTACTAAAACGATAT